GAAAGCCCAAAATACCCCTATGACCGTAACCCCTTCTCTGTTCCATTTTCAAATTACTGAGCCAATTGGAAGTTGCCACGTGCCGGTGTCAAAACTGTGTTAAAAAAGCGTTGTTGGAATAACATTTTCCTAATTAATTACTCTATATATTTTAGCTCTAGAAAAATGATTCTTTGACACGGCTAAAGAAATTGACACTCTTTTGACACGGGTGGGGCCCAATTTTTCTGAATGTCATTAAGGGCAAAGTTGTCATTTGCGGTGCGTGAAAAGTTTATTGAAAGTTTTCGTTCCTTTCATAGTCGATCCTTTCATCTTGGTGGAAGAGGAAGTCTAGGGTTAGGGTTGAGAGAGCGAGAAAGAAAAAAAAAGGAGAACTCCATGGCTGCCACAGGCTGGACGTGATCGGTGATCAGAAGAGTTGGAACCGGCGAAGTGCGAAGCATCAGGTTTGTCCCCTTTCTATTCCTTTCTTGTTTTGTCATCATTTCTCTATCTTTCGTTTTCTTTTTGATTCATTTTCGAAAACCCTAGAGTAAAGGGGCAAGGGCGTGAGATAGAGAGTTTTCTTTTTGATTCAGTTTCGAAAACTCCAAATGCTCTACTACAGGCACATTCCTCCAATTCGCCCTTGATTCCTCTCTGCATCATATCCTCCAATTTGCTTATGTTGGCAGTTTCATTTTGTGTATGACAGCACCCATTTCTTCTCTTCATCTTTATGTTGATATGGGTAAAGGGTTTTCACTCGCATCTACACACTCCATTTTTTATTTTCATATTGTTTTATTATTTTCTGTGGAATGTGACATTTGAAAGCTTTACTATCTTTGTGCTTATATTCTGTGTAAAACCTTGCAGTTGTTGAATGAAGGGGATGGGGCATTCTATGGACCAAAGATAGACATCAGTGTATCTGATGCATTAAGTAAGAAATTTCAGTGTGCAACTTTGCAGGTTTGCCACGCTCAGATAGATTTGTGTTCACATGATTTAGTTTTGGATAACTTGTCATGTAATAGCTAGGTGAATGTGGTTACTTGCAGCTTAACTTCCAGCTTCCTGATCGTTTGAAGTTGGAATTCTCTGCTGAGGATGAAGCCAAAATTGAGAGACCTGTAATGATACATAGAGTAATTCTAGGATCTGTTGAACACATGTTTGCCATACTTTTAGAGCACTACAAGGGTAAATGGCGTTTCTGGCTCAGTCCTCTTCAAGCAATTGTATGTCCTGTGTCTGGAAAATCACTATCTTATGCACTACAGTTAAGCAACTCTGAATTTTATGCTTTATTCTTTGATATATTTGCTTATACCTATTAAATGATACAAATGTTGTACTGACATATCTTGTGGCAGCACCTGTATTTTTTTCATGCCTGTAAATTAACTGTCTAGTACTCTCATAATTGGCTTTTCCTTGTTTATTTCTGAGCTTTTCTGTATCATGTTGAAACCGTTGAAGCAGTTTGATTTTGTTACTAAATTTTGTTCAGTCCATCTCATACATTTTTAAATAAACTTCCAGCTGTAATCTGATCACAAAGTTCGAGCAACCTCCTTGAATAGTTGAATATCTTAGAGTGTGTTCGGTTTTTCAGAATTCTTTCTATTTTTACAAAA